CGAGCGGGGCCCAGGAAGCACCGAGTAACGAAATGGATTCTCTGCTGTTGGCAGTAGTGGCTGGGTGGTGCTGGCTGGATGTGTAAGACCCCTCCAGCTTGGCTCCCACCGGGCGTCGGGTCTTAAGCGTTTTGCATCAGCCCTTCATCTCCTCTCGCTTGCAATGCGATCCCAGCACAAATGAGCAAAGGGGAATTCAACACAAGAGGAGCAGATCACTAGCAAAAAGAGGGGGCTTTAAAGCTGTCTCATGAACCCCTTCCCTTGCCTTTCTTGTGTCTATCTGTAGATGTGACCGATGAGACCCTGAGCTTCTTCCTCACCCTTTTCCAAGGACTGCGGGTACAGATGGGCGTGCCTTTCACTGAGCAGATCATCCAGACCTTCCTAAACATGTTCACCAGGTACTGTCGCTTCGTTTCGGGCCTCACGCTGTTGGAAAGTTCCTTTCTTTACCTTGAGAACTTCTGCTGTAGGAGCAGCTTGCTGATTGGCCACTGTTCTAAATTGCCCATTCATATTTTCAGTCCCTCCCTCCCAAAAGTGCTTGGATTTCTTTCCCTGTCCCACGATAGGGAGGGAGGCAAAAATACATCTGAGAAACTCCAGATGACTTGGAGTGAGGAAGCAGGTGACAGACACAAGAAGTTACCTCCTGCCCACAAAAGCAAATGAAATTCCCACACTCCTAAATAGGGGGCGACAGGCATTGTGTGAACAAAAGAGGGATGTTCAGTCTCTGAATCTGAAACCACATTCCAGAATTGATCTCTGCCTCCAGTGCAGGCCAAGACTGGGAGATCCTGCCCCTCTGAAGGAAAGCACCTTTCCCAGCCGGCTGCGCTGTGCGTGGGACTATGAACAGCATCAGTCCCTCATTCAGGAAGGGTTAGGCTGTGCTGCTGCTGTTTCTAGGGGCGGAACAGACTGCCCACCAGTCGTTCGTCTGGGGCTTGCGCACAGATGCTGAGAGGCGCATTGAGGGAATGGCAAAGCTGTTACCATGCCCCATCGTTCAGACTAAAGCAGTATTGCAGAGCAGACTTCGTGTCCCCGTGCTTTGGTGCCGTTTCAAGTCTGTCTCGGGATGATTAGGGGACACTCACTGGAATCCTAAGTGGAAACCCGGGGTGTTTTGTGTCGCTCACTCAGAGCCAGCTCCCTCCTGAGATGTGCTACCCCCTAGCTACATGAGCGGCATTTCGCTGCTGCCACCTTCCAGCGTGTAGCGTGGCCGACGCGTCTCCCCCAGACGTCTGACAGCGGTGGTGGCTTTGTGTGTCTCAGAGAGCAGTTGGCGGAGAGCATCCTGCATGAGGGCAGCACCGGCTGCCGTGTGGTGGAGAAGTTTCTGAAGATTCTGCAGGTGGTGGTACAGGAGCCCGGCCAAGTGTTCAAGCCTTTTTTACCCAGCATCATCTCGCTGTGCATGGAACAGGTCTACCCCATCATTGCAGAGGTAGGACAGCTCCCATACAGCAGGTTCAGTGAGTGGCCACTTAAACTCCCGAGAGGCAGAGAGGGGAAAAGCAATTTTCTTGTGACAGTCTGAGCCACCGGCTGGCGTGAGCTGGGGCAGAAATAATGCTAGACCTGGGTTGAGGTCATTGCAAAATAACTATGAGGAAGCTAAGTTTGCAGGTGTGCTTGCGGCACGGCTTCAGGCCTCGCTGCGGGTACAGTGGGCTTTTTGCCTGGCCAGACGAGCCCTAGAGGACTATGAGCTTTGAGTTCTTGGTCACCAGCTCAGGCCTTTCCTATAATGTTGCACCTCTGGTCTGGATTACTGTTCTGAATGGCCACCTGCGTGTCACGGGGGAGAGCTGTGAGTAGCGGGAGCCACTAAACGAGCTGCCTTCTGGCTGAGCAATGTATTCCAAGATTCTTTCTCTCCCTAGCGCTCCTCTCCTGATGTCAAAGCAGAGTTATTTGAGCTGCTTTTCCGGGTCCTCCATCACAACTGGCGGTTCTTCTTCAAGTCGAGCGTTCTGGCAAGTGTCCAGAGGGGGATAGCAGAGGAACAGATGGAGAACGAAGCACAGTTCAGTGCCATCATGCAGGTAACTCAACGGCGCTCATACTGTGAGACCTTAGGGTTTCTTGGCGGGATGTAGTGCTCGCCGGAGCAGGCAATTAGAAACTCACAGAGTTGACTCGAACTAGGATTAACAGGGGGAGTCCTCGTTTCACAGCCAAGGAGATGTTAGCTGCTGCTTTGACTATTGTCCTTGTGGGTGCTTCACTTCAGGTATCGGTGTGCCCCATGCCATCAATCGGAGATTTTCAGAAGCCGTGTCCATCCAAGCTGCATGTATGCATTGGTCATCTCGCAGCTCTGTTGGCCTGCTGACCAGTGAGCACTAGGGACCCTCAGTTCCTGCTCCGTCGTCCTCTGCCTAAGATGGAGCTTTGCAGCGAGGCACCAACGTCTTCTCAGGAAATCTGTAAAACAGTAAATTAGTTACGTTAGTTTTCCTTCACAATAGTTGTGAAAGAGTTTAAAACAATTGTTTTCTTCAGTCTCCTTTCTTTTGGAACATTCTGGCTCTGAGCTGCGGCTCCTGTCGTGAGGTAAGGCCGATCTGATGGACACTTCCTGTGTCCAATGTCTTGATGCGTTGTACATCCTGCAGAAGTGCACTCGCTAGAGTAGCCTCAAAGGCAGCCAGATGGGACCGGGATCTACCTTTCAAATTGATTTTGCTGGAAAAGTCTCTTCACCCTCGCCCTGAGTCGGAGGAAGTCACTCCTCCATCAGGGGCTCTCTTCACCTGCTCCAGGCAGCTCGATCCTCAGCAGTAACGAGGAAAAAAGCGTCAGCCTCTCCTCGCAGCAAATGCAGAAAGAGGCAGCCTCCAGGGAGATTGCTGTCCTCCGGGACAGTCTCCTCGCGGGCAAACACCTTCAGATCTCCAGACCCCTCTGGCACCGTCTGCTGCAGCACCTCTGCCACGTGCAGCTTGAGAAACGAGGAGTGGAGGCATAAACTGAGACACACCTCCTCTGTGACACTGACCACGCTGGTGTGTCTGCATGGAGACCCTCCCCCTAGGCTATTCCAGCACCCGTGGTCCTGCCGGCACCAGCTGCCTCCTCTGCACCATTGGTGTCCTCAGCCACGGGTGGGCTCTGTGGCAGGGAAGGAACGGGTTCAGGGTGTGTGCGTGGTCAGAGCAGCAGTGGCACCTCGAGATGACCAACGTGCACTCACAGCCCTGAGGGACATGGCTACGAAAAATCACCGCTTGGCGGTGCAGGGATGCACGGACACCTGAAGTTGAGCGCCCACATCTTGGAGACCCTCGGTTACTGCACAAGGGGAGGGAATGTTCACGCGTGAGCTGTGTGGCCGTGTGGACAAGCTGCAGAATCTTACCGTGGGGAAAGGGAAAGGGGACTAATCCTCTCGGTGGGTCACTCCCTCGGTGTGGGGTCCTGCACTGCAGCGCTGCCTCGCTGGTACCTTCGCCATGCACCTCTTGACTTGCAGTAGGACAACCTGGCAGTGAAGAAAAGCTCGTATGGTCCTAATGTGCCTCTTCGAGGGTTGCATTGACTGGTTACTATACCATGTGCCACATTTAGCAAAGATAACTCCGTGGGCTCTGCTCTTACGAATAGAGAAGAGAAATGAACTAGAACAACCGTTGGTAGCGCCTACAGCATCCTTTCCAGCCTGGGAAGGCAGAGTCCTAAAGCCCATAAGACTTCCTTGTTTCAGGTTTGAGTCTGGCATGTACCCGAACCGCTCAGACCTGTGGGTATTTCATCTTTAAGGGCAGGCTTAGCTCTCCAAAGCCTTAATGCAACTTGCACCAAATTCAAAGCCTCATCCCAATCGATATAGCCCACTCGGGCTGTCTGACGCAATGCCCTTCACCTCCTGCCTACTTCAGAGCAAACAGAGCCTTGCACCATGCCCCGCGAGTGCTGGCGTCTGGCAGCTCATATCCGGCAGTAAGTTCCAGAGGGCAGAGCCATCCATTGAGAGGTCAAATCAAAGGCCTGTCCACAAAACTGCCTGCGCTTAGGAGTGATCTTCTCTCTGGTTCTAGAGGTGGGGTTAGCCAGGTGTTTAAAACAAAATCCCAACATGCACACGTTCCCTCTCCCCAGCCCACAGAGCTCACTTAGCGCTGGAAGGGCCCTCTAACAGCCCTCAGGCTCTGGCTTGGGGGGAAGTGGTGGTTGGGCTTGTAGGGGCCAAAGCACTAGTTCTGCCACACGGGTGTGTCTGAAAGGAGACGGCTCCCTTGTCCTCCTGAGCCTGACTGCTCAGCAGCAGCGCCCAGCGGGAGAGCACAGCCGGGGTCAGGGATAAGGGCAGAACAGCTGGTTCAGGAACACGAGCTGAGCCTGCAAAGCTCAGACAAATGGTGCATGCTCTGATGCCAGGAGATCCAGTCCGGCCCTGAGTCACTCGTGTATAGACCGGGCCTGTCTGACAGACCTGCATGCCGGCCGTTCTCGTTCCGTCGCCTAAAACCAGGCTCCTTCCCTAGGCGTTTGGCCAGTCCTTCCTGCAGCCAGACATTCACCTCTTCAAACAGAACCTCTTCTACCTGGAGACCCTGAATGCCAAGCAGAAGCTGTACCACAAGGTGAGTCCCAGTTGGCCAACCCTGTGTCTGCCGTGTGCAGCAACATTCCCCTCTGCCTCTTGCCCTGGTGTCTGGACCAAAAGAGATCCCATCACGGCACTGGTCACAGTAACAACTGGCGGGCTCTGGGGTAGAGCATCCCCCAAAATGGGGCACAGAATAGGTGGGCCCCCACCATCAATTCACCTCTCCAAGGCATGCAGAGAGGGGAAGAGAGCGAGTCCAGATAGGAGCTTCCCCCTTGTGGAATCTGCCGTCCATCCCAAGAGCTGGGGAGAAGCCGGGTATGGGACATACGGAAGGACCCAAACTCTTGTCCCTCGGGGTTTGAATGTGGCCAGGGCTGGGGTTCGGACTCAGTGGGGGAGGCTAATGATCGCTGTGTGGGCCGGAGGGAGAAAGGGGCTTGTTGATCTGCTCAGGTAGTAGATACTTAAAATGCCGGGGTGCTGAGTGGGGCCAAATTCACCCCTGCCTGGTCCCAGGGATCCCTTTGGCTCCCTGTTCCGGCCCTGCAGATTCGGCATGCTGCGCTGGGTCTGTTCCTAAGCGGCAGCTGAAATCCTAGAGAAACCAACGAGGCCTCCCGCAGAGTGGCAGAGGTGCAGCTCGGCTTGCGGCCTTGCTCTGGCCTTTGCCCGGGAGCGTTGCCACTGCTCTGGGCGGGTGGGCTGCCGTGGCGTTGGACTGGCTCAGCCTGAGGCAGCGCAGGGGCCTGGCAGCAGGAGGATGTGACTCTGCTTCTCTCGCCCTGCAGAAGATCTTCCGGACGACCATGCTGTTTCAGTTTGTGAACGTGCTGCTCCAGGTGCTGGTGCACAAATCGCATGACCTGTTGCAGGAAGAGATTGGCATTGCCATCTACAACATGGCCTCGGTGGACTTTGATAGCTTCTACTCCGCCTTTCTGCCGGAGTTCTTAGGCAGCTGTGACGGCGTGGACTCCAACCAGAAAAACGTCCTGGGAAGGAACTTCAAAATGGACAGGGTAAGAGCAGCGACGCTGCAGAGGGATTCCCGCTGGGCCAGGTACAAGCATGTCATGGCGCAGTCACCGCCAGCGGCAGAGCTGACCGCTGCAAATTCCCCCCAGATGTCAGGGGTCTCCCAGAATGGCCACTGATGGCGGGCGGCTTTACTAGCGTCCTCTGCCTGCCACTGGGATTTCCTAGGGCAGCTAGAGAATCCAGCCATGGTCTTGTCGCGAATGGTCCCTTGCCCAGCCAAGAGCTACGCTAGCAATTTGCCTGGCGCTCAAGGGCTGAGTGAAGCTGTAATGGTGTAGCTGCAATCTCACCCATCTCCTGCAGGCCTCTTGGGAACAGGTGACTGGGAGTGGAGGGGCTGTAATCTCCCCAGGGTGCCCAAACTTGCGAGACGCACAGCAGTGGCAACAGGTCCTTCCGGACGAGGAGGGGGTTTGTATGGAGGGGGGCAGGAAACCTGGAAGAAGTGACTCTGGCTACGTCTACACTGGCGGCTTCTTGTGCAAAACACTTCCACGAGCGCGTCCACACTGCCACGTGCTATTGCACAAGAGCATCCATGGCAGCGTGAACGCTCTCTTGTGCAAGAAAGCTCCGATGGCCATTTTAACTATAGGGGCTTCTTGCGCAAGAAATTCATGTTGCCTGTCTACACTGGCCTCTTGGGCAAGAGGGCTTATTCCTTGGGGAGAGCGGAATAACTTCCGGCAGAAGCCCTGTTTTCCGACGCTGGATGGTACGTTTACGTGCGCAAGAACGCGCGTGCAGTGTGGACAGCCGGCAGGTTTTTGCGCAAGAGCAGCTGCCAGTGTAGACGTAGCCTCTGGATTTCCTTGCTGGCTTCTAAACTAGCCAAATGCAGGAGCAAGGTGGGAGTCTTTGCTTCCCTGTGCCCTACAGCCCGAGAAGTCCTGGGAAACGCAGGAGGCTCCTCCCTGGCCACACGAAGCCAGCTCATGTTCTGCAGCCTAGGCACACTAAGAAACCAGTCCTGTTACTAAACCCCAGGATGGTGCCCTGGGGGGACCTGCCACGGGGTGTTCTCCTGGCAGCTCCAGGAGAGCTGGGTTACGGGTAAACAAACGGGCGCTTTTATCTTAAGGGCGATGATTTGCTAGGACGGTGCCAGTCCGGCTCCCTCTGCCCGGAGGCTGCAGGCACTGCTCCATTGTCCTGTAACGGCTGCTTGATCTTCCCCAGGACCTGCCGTCTTTCACCCAGAATGTGCACAGGCTGGTGAACGACTTGCGCTACTACAGACTCTGCAATGACAGTTTGCCCCCCGGCACGGTGAAGCTATAGTGTCTGCACTGGACTCGTGTTTGGAGCACTGTACAGAATGGATTTGTACTTTTTATGGTCACCACCTCCTCTCCTCCCTGATCTCGTCAGCACTGCAGCGTGATGCGCATGGGCCCACGTTCCTGGATTCGCGCCCCACCAGGCTTCCTTGTCCCACCCAGAACCCGTCCCCCATCGAGTCAGCAGCACTGCCTGCAAGAGTGTGTCTTAACGCCAACCGTCGGGCATTCCCGCCACGTGAAGAGTCACCTTGCCGGGTCCTTGTTTTGCTACCGTAGCACTTTGTTGCGTCTGGAGATTTCGGCGAGTCGTCCTGATGGATCTGGGGTGTGTCAATCATGAGGCAAAAACTCCAAAGACAACTTCAGACATTCGCACCTTCGCATCATTCCGCCTTCCCGCCCGGCTCCCGGAGGAGGATTGCGATGTCGAGCCTGGTTCGGCACCCTCACTCCCCTTTGGTTTTAAATTGCCTTGAAGCTGCCCTGCCATTTTCAGGGATTTAGAGACTTGTGGTTTTTTTTAATGTTTTCTCATCATTCCATTGTGATACTAAAACATGCTTAATGGAAATAAAGTGCTTCCTTGGTTGTTTTAAATCGCTTCTCCCCTCTTCGCTCCAGCAAGCTGCTTTGCTAGATGGAAAAGCATCTCTGACCATGGGGAGAGGCGCTGGGTTGTTGCCCTCCTGCCCTTCCCCCAAAGGGAAGAAAGGTTCAAAAAGCACGATGCTGCAGCGTAGGATACTTGGACTGAAGGTTCATCTTGGGAGCCCAAGGGATTTTTACCTTGGTGGTTGGGCTGTGGGTAAAAAGTCCAGCAGTCTCCATTCAGAGATGCCTGATGGTCTTGGTAGCACTTCATGCTCTTTGCTTTTATGCTCTCTAACTTCTGTGATGGTCCAGTGTGAATGGGACTTCATCTGGGGGCTTTTGTCTGGTCCCCACTAGGATGATCTAGAACCAGGACTGAGCGATTCGTGTACCCTTGATTCAGAATGTAGAATCCCATTTGATTAGTTAACTGGTTAAACGTGTTAGTCAATTAAACGGGGCGGGGGTGGGGGCGGCTCTAGCCCAGCTGGACCTGCCCGCAGCAGCTGGGGGGGGGGGGCGGGTTGAGCCCCCTCAGCCCCTGCTGGTTAATGGTAGCCAGTTAACCCTTCCCATCGCTACCCTTGTGTCTGTGGATTTGCGCTCACCAGCGAGGGAGCAGTGCTGCCAGTTGGAAGAGAGCGCTGGTTTCTGTGGTGCACCCGGAAACGTCAGGCAGGTTTCCCTGAGGTGATAGGTACCTGACAGAGTTCCCGGCGCGAGAGCCCGTCTCGCACTGCTCTGTTGGCAAAGAGCCTGCCACTGGCCATGCTAGTGCAATGGAGTTCCTAAAGGGGCCTTTGGGGGAGCAGGAAAGTGGCTGAGTCCCACTCTGCAAGAGGGCTCAGTCCTAATCTGGTTCTGAGAGCTCCGCTTCCATCTGGTGCTCCTGAATCCAGGCTCTGCAGCTCTGCAAGGAGCTAGCTGGCAGGCAGTCGGGGCTGCAGAGATGCCCGTGGGTGCTCAAGGAGGTACGTCCACAGTGGCGTTGCCTTCTGCCAGGACCGCAGCCCTGCTATTTCAGTGCACTGCTTCCCGGGCTGGTGCCCATTGAGTGCCTTTGCAAACTACCTAGTGATCACAGGAAAATATTGACCAGGGATGGAAGGGCACGTTTTCCCTGGACTGAACCATTAAGCAGTGGCAGTCCCCTGGAAGGAATCCAGGCTGGGATGACGGGGTCCTGGAGCCCATGCTTAAAACTCCCAAGCCTTATTCATCCATGAAAAGAGTCGAAAAGGCACCAAGGTCATTGTGCTTTGCAGGTCCCCGTGTGGCGGCTAGTCTCACTACCAAAGGAGAGTCTCCTGGGGCTCAGAAGTTCCCTTTGCCCTGCGACCGTCAGCCTGAAATTGGATGCCTGTCCCTCTGCCAGCGTGGGAGGTCACTGCGCTGTCAGGCAGAGTTGCTCTTCCATGAGAAAAGCTTTGGTCTCTGGTGGTAATTGGAGACCTTGGTCCTTGCATTCTGTGGGCTGTCCCAGACTTTTCCCGCCTGCCCCAGTGTTCCACCATGGCCTCCCTGGCAGGCAGACCCCAGTGCATGTGGCTCGGGATGGTCTTTCTGCTCTCCCTCCCCATCGTTGTGGGGCCTGGGCGTGGCCCAACGGCTTAACTTGGCCTCCAGCCCTGCTGGCTGAGGTAATTGGAGACCTTGGTCCTTGCATTCTGTGGGCTGTCCCAGACTTTTCCCGCCTGCCCCAGTGTTCCACCATGGCCTCCCTGGCAGGCAGACCCCAGTGCATGTGGCTCGGGATGGTCTTTCTGCTCTCCCTCCCCATCGTTGTGGGGCCTGGGCGTGGCCCAACGGCTTAACTTGGCCTCCAGCCCTGCTGGCTGAGGGAGGCCA